ATCACGTGAAGCACAGTACGCCGATGCATTGGAAAATGACCCTTATTGTTGTTTTATTATTTCTGTTAATGTAATGTTTATATTTTGCGTAATCGTGGATTACTGTGTTTGAACTTTGACAAATACCAAAAGTATTTTTAAATCGAAAGAAGAACGTTCAAAATTTTCACAATTCCAAACCTAACCTACAACCGAAACTGACAGTTTATAAATGCAAAAATATTGAACCTCAACTGCCTCGAACATCCAACTGCAACTGAACCTCAACTGAACGCCAACTTCCGAGATTATAAATCCAGCTAAATGCCTAGCCATAAGCATATTGCAAGAGCACCTGTAGCTCCGTGGCTGAGGCTATCGGTTCGTGAGCGCATGGTCAGGGTTTCAAATCTCACGCTGAACAAGACTTTTTTATATTTTATTTTGCTTATAGTGTGATCTTATTGCATTGGTTTCACTTTTATTGGTTGGATTGGTTTAGTTATTTGGCGGGTTGGTTAGCGTGATTATTTGGAGGGTGTTAATTCATTGGTTAGTTGGTTATTTGGTGGGGTTGGTTGGTTTTTACTAATTTATATTTGTTTTTTAATTTTTTTTTATCAGTGTCGAGGTTAGTTGCGTTGGTTAAGTTGGTTATTTGGTGGGGTGGATAGTGGTGGTTAGTCCTTATAAAATTCCTATATTTCAAAAAGCCGTCAAGTGCGTCACATCAACGACGTCATACCTATTAACGGCATTTTAGTAAGCTACCGTTTAACGGCAGTTTAAGTACAGCCTTTTTATAAATACACTTTTTAAACTCTCAAGGCAGGCAGTATTTCTAATAGAGGAAATTCAAATAATTAGTTTTCTGACAGATGGAAAAAAATTGACTGTTTTAAAACAGAATTTTAAATAACTTAAAAACTATTTATTTTAGGTAGGTATAGGAATATGTATAGTCAAAAAGTAATGACTTGAAAATCCTTTTCACTAGTGACATAAAAAATATTTATAATTTTTTAATCGCCCAATTCCATGACAGCTACCGCCATTATTATATATGACATTCGAACAATTAAAATTTTGAAATAGATAGCAACATGTCTTCTGTTCATGTCACAGTGGCTGTGGTAATCACTAAATTTGACATTTAGGTAATACAAATTTTTTTGACAGGTAGTTTTTTTCGTCCAAAAATTTTAAATATTTTTTTTCTCAAAAACGGTTAATGTTAGATATAGAGTGTTTAACATCAATATTCATAGAATTTTGTTAAGTATAGAATGTTTAATATAGAAATTCATAAAATTTTACAGAAAATTTAAGTATGTAATAACAAATAGAGGTACCCATTTAAAATAAGAAAGTTGCTGTCAACTTCCGGTATTTCCAAAAGTGCCGCCACATTCAAAATATTTGTAATCGATATTTCTCGTTGTAAAACAATGATGTGCAAAAAATCTCAGATCTAGATATTGTAGTTCTCTTCTAAAACTTCTAATGCACGCTGTGGGACACCCTGCATACCTATGCTAATAATTATGGGAATACAATACACTACTTAGTCATAGGTAATATAATTATAATAACGATAAAGTTAACTTCATTTTAAATATGCTGTAAATATAACTGTTGATTGTATATGAAATTGTGTAAAAATATAATGCTTTAAAGATAATAAATAATAAAATAAGAACAACAAAAAATAACCAAATAGAGAACTCAGTTTTGTGATAAATGTTGCATTATATGTTTATATGTTTTGTTATTACTTTAAATGTTAGTGTAAATAAGATAATAATATAACGTTAATATAGTATTGTATTAAATATAGGGCCATATTTATCCGAGGCATGACATGTTGTAATGCAGTTTGGTATGTGGGAATATTATTAATTAATACAAGATATTATAATTTTAAGTAAATAAATATTACATAAAATATAGTGTTGCTTTAGTTAGATTCCTCCACTATGTGCGACATAGAGTTCTACATAAATGGCGAATGCGCCGGGATAGGACTACAAAGTTGTAATAATCTGAATACTTTCATATTGAGAGAATTTTCCTGTAAAATATTACATATTTAAGTTCATCTTTTATTAGGTTACCATACGACCTCTGTACAACATACAACAGAAATACAGTTAACTACTGACATACAAACATATGTATATGTACCGAGATATGTACTATCATCAATTTTTAGTTTTAAGGAATTGAAAAAAAAAATAATGCTTAGCCTTTTATACAGGGTGTTTCAAAAAATATGTGCCATCTCTCGTGGGGAGATACCTCACGTAAAAATAAGATTTATTTTTCTTATCAACATAGGTCCGATCCGTGTTAAGTCTTAATAATCATTCGATTTTTTATAATTTTCTTCCAAGTACTTTTAGTGATTCGAATGAAATTTTGAGGGTAAAAGTTACTATAAGTGCTACATATTTTAGTGCTAAAGAAGTGCCGATAACACTGGAATATTTTTCAAAAAAAACATGTGCGCCACTGACAAAATCATGTAGGCCAATTAAATATTATTTCTTGATATTTTGTTAAATTCGCCCTCCTTGATGAGATAAACGCAATTTCATTAATCACAATTAATAAAATTAAATAAAAAAATTATATATTTTACCTAATTTATTATTAAATATTATTACTATTAGTATTATTACTATTAGTCCAATATTCAATATACAGCAATTTCAAATAAAAAAAATAATGGTATTTAACATAATTGCAAAAGACCTAATTTTAAAAATCTTTAACATTTTGTAATTCTAAAACTATGCAATATGCATTTCCATGCCCATGTTTATAGGAACTTTTTTCATATTTTTTGATGAGAAATCAATTAATGATATTATTTTTTTTAAGATTGCTATTAGATTTGGAGCCAGGCAAATTAATAATATTGCGTTTATCTCATCAAAGAGGCCAAAATCGACCAAATATGAAGAGACAAGTTTTAATCGGCATTAAACTCTTTAAACTATTTCGCTAACAAGAGAAAAAAAGTCAGTGGCGTACATGTTTTTTAAAGAAAAAAATTCCAGTCATAACCCATATGCACGTCTCTGATGAATATGTTGACGCTTTTTTAGCTTTAATATATGTCGCAGTTGTAGTAACTTTTACCATCAAAATTTTATTCGAAACGCTTAAAGCACTTGGAAGAAAATTATAATAAATCGAAAAAATATTAAGATTTTAACACCCTGTAGCTACAAAGCAGAATCGGACCTATGTTGATCTGAAGAATAAATTTTATTTTTACGTAAGGAATCTCCCCGCCAGAGATGGCACATGTTTTAAAACACCCTGTATAATACCTCTCTAGTAGAACAATAAATTATAAGTTATTCCGTGAGGAAAAAAAGGACTTTTATAAGATTTACTAAGTTTGTATTGTTATTTTAATACCATAAATATGTGAGAACCCGAAAAGGTTCTATCATATATAGGCCAGTCGTCTAAGACATTTACTAAGGCAAACATTGCAAACGGGACTGTATCTACCATTTTTTAATATATTGTTAGGACCCATGAGACTAAGTTATGCCCAATTTTGCAACCCTCAAAACCCTGTGCTACTCCCGTGATACTCAAAAAACCTCAAAATTTTGGTACTTATTTCAGTTTTTTTGAAAAAACTATGTTAAGAAAGCATTTTTCAAATTTAATTGTCCGATACTTTTATAAAGTCAACTAAATTTCCTACAATTTAAGCCCAACCCGAATCCTCTAGGCTAATTCGTTGTCGAAATAGAGCCAATCAAATATCGGATATTTTTTTGAAAAACTAAAAATGTATGAGTACGGTCACATTCCAAAGCACGTGTCGCCTAAACTAATGGCTCTAGAGAAAAGACATAGGAATAAAGTTGTAGAGAATTTATTCAGCTTTAATTTGATGTAAGAATAGGACCGCTAGGTATCGTATTTTCCTCAAAAACAAAAAGTGAAAACCTTGGCATCAGTCACCACCTCTGTGAAAGTGTTGAATAAAACAATTAATGTTGATCCTCTCACCATATTCCAGAGGGTCTGCATCACCAAACAATCCGATGAGCAATTGAAGCAGCATTTTGCTTATGAGCTAGCACCATATCCGTTGTCCTTGTTCACTGAAGAAGAAATGTGCAAGGGTACTGAATCTTCCTTCTATTCAGCATTTACACCGCTCGCTAAAAACATTATCCCAGGAAACAAGGCGTTTTGGTAGTCTGGCATCGAAATTATTCGTCAGAGATATTGTGGTTGGATACGTCAGCTATGTTTTAAACAACTTTGGTAAAAATGTTGCAGTTGTTTTTGATACAAACATCAAAATATCACCAGAATCACAAGAATCACCAGAATTGAGCAAACTACGATGCCTAGCGACCTCATTCTTACATCAATTTAAAGCTGAATAAATTCTCTACAATTCTATTTCTCATAACTTTTCCCTAGAGCCATTAGTTTAGCCGATACGTGCTTTGGAATGTGACCGTACTCATAAATTTTTAGTTTTTCAAAAAAATCGCCGATATTTCATTGGCTGTATTTGAACAACGAATTGGCCTAGAGAGTTCGGGTTGAGCTTATATTGTAGAAAATTTAGTTGACTTTTTAAAAGTGTAGAACAATTAAATTTGAAAAATGCTTTCTTAACACAGTTTTTTCAAAAAAACTGAAATAAGTACCAAAATTTTGAGGTTTTTTGAGTATCACGTGAGTAGCACAGGGTTTTGAGGGTTGCAAAATAAAACTAATGTAAAATATGCCTTTTAGGGTGTCATATTTAACCCAAAAGGCTAATATTTAACCAAACTTACAGATTTTAGGGGGGGGGGGCGGGCCCCATGGGCCCCCCTCTGTGTCCGCCACTGAATACGTATATACCAAACTATGGGAGTAACTATAACTATAAACTATGAATATACTATAAACAATACACTATGGTAGAGTTCAAGACCATAAATTAAAGTGAAAGTGAAATATTATGCAGTATCGCTTGTTCCTCATTCGAGTGTAGATATATATTAATTGCTTCTAATAATGTATTACTTAATCCTCTCTTTGGCTTTATTAGCCCATTTAAATAGCTCAGCAGTATGCTCGAGAATTTTAGGTGTATTTCCGAGTTCAGGATACAGTCAGTACCTTTTGGCTGAGCCTTTAATGATAGAACTAGCTGAAAAAGGACACGAGGTGACTGTAATTAGTGCATTTGAAACAAGAAATGTTACTAATCTGAGAAGCATTACAGTGCCTATGCCTGTTGATAAGGAAGAGAGCGGTAAGATAATGCTGGCTTTAATTACTTATGCAAGGATTTTTTTAATTGATATATTTAAACATTATTTATTAGGTTAGATGTACAGGGTGAGTCCTAAATGAGTGCAAATATTTTCAAGGCTAGTAGATCTTGAGAAAAGAAACATATTTTCTCTTTATCGCTTTTCAAAGTCCAAAATCACGGAGTTATTTTACTTTAAAAATATAAAAAAATAAATGATTTTTTACTTTTTTCAATAGCAACTGTTAAAATTGCCTTATATCTATCAAAAATAGTAGATAAAATAATACTTTAACGGCAAGGGTAGATTAAAGGATACTTTAAGAGCGAGGATAGGTTAAAAACTTTATTTTTCTTGCGCGTTTTCTAATTGCTTCCATTTTTGAAAATTTTTGTATTCCTTTTCAAAAGTTATGCGGGATTTAAATGGAAGTAGTCTGGTTATGACGCTTGTCGCCTCAGCTTGAATATCTGTTAGTTAGTTGCTTATTTCGTTTTGAGCCATTTCTGGTTCCAATTCAATCAGCAATGGACACGAAAGAGAATTAAAAAATATTGACTGAAAACTGACAACTAAAGAGACAGCTTTATTTATTTGTCAAATTACATAGAAACCAACGCCAACTCAGCACAATATTTTTTCTACTTGTAATAAATTCCTTGAAATAATAATTTCTGAATATTTTTTAAAACGTAACTCACTATGGCAAAAATATTGTTTGATACACGACGATAAAATTGCATTATCGTCTCCCGAAAAAATCTTTTCGGTCGATGATAAAATACCATTTTATTGTCTTGTAAAAATAACTATAAATTTTGAAAATCACTGGATCTTTTCTAGGTTTTCTTTCTTGTAAATTTAATCTACTACCTAAGTTGTCATATTATCAAGATATTATGTTTTTTACATCCAAAATTTTCCAAAACATTAACAAAAAAATCTCAACAAGCGCGTTTCTGGAGTCGAAATATACTACTCCTAAAAATATTTATATTTATTTAAGAATTTTTTTTTCGCGAAAGAAAAATTTGGAAAATTTAAAATTTGTTTTAAAACAAATTAGGAAATTCGGAATTTTTTTAATTAAACGGTTTTATTTAGCTCGACCCGTACGGTATTTATTTATTTGTTTGTTTATTTGGGTCAAAATTAGAAATTGAAATTTAAGTACCTTTCTGTTGTCAGATTGATCTGAAATTTGGTACACACCTTTAGTTCCGATGACAATACAATATAGTAATATCAATAACATTGTAAATCTAAGATGGCCGCCGGTACAAAATGGCGGATTTCATATTTTTCCACAACCCCCTCAATATGGGTATCAAATGAAAGGGCTACACTAGTAGAATACTTGTTACAAAATTTAAAATCCAAGATGGACGTCGTTACAAAATGGCGTATTAGGTGAGGGCATGAGTAGTCGTGTCCAGAACAGTTGTGTCCAAGATTGTGTGACGTTAGAAGGACAGATAAAAAAAAATAGGTGATGAATTTGTGAAAATGTTGCGGTCCAACATTGACGTTACAAAAGGATTGGTAAATGGTGCTATAGGCCACATTACAGAAATTGTTTGGCCTCAGTTCCGTCGAACCCAAATGTACGAAACAGATGTACCATCAGTTTGGATTGACTTTGGCAGAGACGGCATACACGTTATACACCCGAAAGCCATACAGTTTCCAGCAAAATTTAATTATGGTACGGCTGAAAGAAGGATTACCCTTAATTTTGTCATGGGCATCCGCCGTCCATAAAATGCAGGGCAGCACACTCGACCATGCAGTAGTGTATTTGGGCTCAAAATTGTTTGAAGAAGGGCAAGCATACGTGGCTCTAAGTCGAGTCAAGTTTCTGGAAGGGCTATGTATTGAGGAATTAGATTGTAATAAATTATCAGGTAAAAAACCATGTAATAATGATGCACTAAATGAATTAAATAGAATGAGGAATATTCGGTGGGCATTTCCGTTAAAAACTAAAAACTAGAAAATAAAAAATCGGTAAAAAAACTTTTAAGTTAAACGGTTTTATCTTATGTGCACTGAAAACTAGAAAATAATAATAACAATTAGGTATTTTGAACTTCAATTTAGTTCAGAAATATTTTAGTACTAGGCAGAATAGCTTTTAGGCATATTAGACTAAAATAAAAACGTGGGGCCCATTAACTATTGCTGTAATACTTTCATCTATACTAAGTGTGGATTGTATCGACTTACTATAATCGTAACTGGAGATTTTGACAATCAATAACCAGCCGTGGCGGCTTCACCAGCGAACGCCGAGCTCATGATCTACCAAATTATAAAGATATGCTTTGCCATAGGTAGGATTTCAGAGGGGCTACACGTTTTTATTTTAGTCTAATATGCCTAAAAGCTATTCTGCCTAGTACTAAAATATTTCTGAACTAGAAGTTCAAAATACCTAATTGTTATTATTATTTTCTAGTTTTCAGTGCACATAAGATAAAACCGTTTAACTTAAAAGTTTTTTTACCGATTTTTTATTGTTAGTTAAAAAACATGATACTGTTACGGATTCCATGGGTCCACTAATTTAAACTCACGATAAAGTTCTTAACGGATTTATTTTCTCACTATATACACAAAATTTATACTGATTACGACACACAATTAACTATTTAAAAATCTTTTGCTAAATTGTTACTGTTCACAATATAAAACTAAACTAAACTGTTGAGCGCAGCAGCGCCTTATATATCGCTGCTGATCTTCTGGCAAGTTCTGTTCTAGAATTCTATCAAATCCTTTTGGCTTCCAGCAATTTCTGTTTGGTTTGTAATTACAGAAATCGCTTTTCTTCTACTTTACCCGCTCCCTGACAGATGTTCCACACACCTTAATAATACCACAGATTATTGCAGATTTATTAGTAAGACCATAGATAAAAGACTTATTATATATATATAATATTAAATAGATAGGCAACTGATTACAGTTAAGGGTTGGAACCTTTGGTGTTACACAGCAAAATAAAAACACTAAATCACCACAATACACCAAAACACTTTTACTTTTACACTGGACGCGCGTTTCGCTAACCATGTTAGCATCATCAGCAGATGATTATAAACTAAAGCACAATCTACAAGTTGAGCGTTTATATACTCGCTCAGTGGGCACCGAGTGGGCGTGGCAAAATCTAGCCAACGGAGTCAGAGCCAACTGAGCGTAACAGTTAGATTTCCGCTACTAGAGTAGTAGGAACAAAGAACTTGAAGGAATTGGACCGTTGACTCTTTTCATACTATCTTTACATTTATTAATTCTGATGCTTTCATATGCATCTAATTGCCTGTAATTTGAGACTTGTTTAATTAATTTTAAATTATTAAGATCTATACAATGTTCATTATCAACAATATGTTCGGCAACTAGACACCATAGATAATTTTATTTCTAAGTTAAATAATAGTTTTCCTTCCATTAAATTTACGCATGAAATTGAGAACAACGACAGATTACCATTTCTAGATGTATTAGTTATTAGAAATACTAATAATTGCCTGGAATTTGATATCTATAGGAAAAATACGACCACACGCAGATATATTCCTAATGAATCACATCATAGTGTTGAACATAAAATGGCTAGTTTAAATTTCTTAGTTCATAGATTACTTAGTTTCCCACTTTCCAATGAAAGATATGAAATAGAAAGAGATTACATTAGGAATGTAGCTGAGTGTAATGGATATTCTCCTTCACTAGTTGATAAATTAATTAGAAAACGTAGGTATAGGTTAATGATTTCTGAAAATTCGACTTTTCAAGTGGAGAAAGATACGTCTAAATATTTTTCGATACCGTTTGATAGAGGGTTATCCCGTGGTTTAAAAGGAATTTTTAAGAATGTCAATTATAAACTTGTGTATAGTGCTAATAATAAATTACAACAATTATTAGGTAATCCAAAAGATAAAACACCTCCACTGGAAAGGTCGGGTCGTTCCTCCACTCCAAGGAAGGGGGGTTGTTTTAGTTAATTTAAAATAAATTTAGACATACATGTAAGAACACTTTGTGTGCTTTTAATTAGGTCGAACATATTATAAACGATAAATCAACTTAATTAAAAGCATACAAAGTGTTCTTATATGTGGGATATTAATTAAAAAAATATTAAAAATACTAGAAATATTAAGTTGTTACAGTTATAATTTAATCTTTGGCGGTTTTTCACCAAATAGCAGGCAGTTTTACATAATTTTCCTCCGTTTGAAGTGAATTGGAAACGGTTATATAATTTTGGTGTAGGCAAGATTCCCAGTTTGTTTCCGTGTGAGACCTGAAATAATAAAAACAAATTAAATTAGATTTAATCATCTGCTGATCATGCTAATATGACGCAACGCGCGTCCTTAATTCCTTACATGCACCGTAAAAAAAATTAAATAACTGCTCAGCAATTAGGATTTATTAGCAGTACTAATTTAAAAAATCTATAACTTTAAGTAGATGTATTTAGTTTTTATTTTATTATTATTATAAAAAATAACTAAGAGTCTATACAAAACACAAATTGTCCCACCATTTTTAAAAAACATTGTCTAAAACAGAATCCATTGCCAAAAAATCTGAAGGAATTTAATTTTACAATAATTCCATAAATCAAAACGAAATCAAACCATAAAATCACAACAAAGGCGTCTCTGAGTGTCAGTTAAAAATCAAATTTTATTGTCAGATAGACATTTGCATTGTTGATATTGACAGTTTTAATATTTTGCGCCTCTGTATCTTGGAGGAAAAACTATTTTTAATGAACTGTAATTTCCATTTAAGTTTCCCAGCCATGAGTAAGACGGAGAAACTAAATAAAACAAGGATGCATTCGGTCGCTTTAAATTACCGGTTTAAAGCTTGATTTTCATGCATCCGTTGTCCGGAAAAGAGAAAATTGGTTCCTTTTATTAAGATCTACCAGCCCTGAAAATATTTGCACTTATTTAAGAGTTAACCTATAAATATAATATTTTTTAATCTGTCCAACGGATAGTATAACAGTGACATTTCTTGTCTGTAATTTTAATTCATAGGTAAATTAATTTTTTGTAATTTTTGAATATCGTTTGTTGAAATATTACCTGACTTGTTGGGCAGATTTTATAATCTGTATTACTGAAAACAATAAAACACTAATAACTAAAACTTTTGTTTTAGATAGCTTGTATAAACTACAGGACTTGAATATATTCAGAAATCTTGAAGTATTTAATGAACTAACACTAGCTTGTACAGAAAACATCTTGAAAGACACAAAAGTACAATCTTTACTGAATTCAAATGAATCTTTTGATTTGGTGATTGTTGAAACATTTAATAACGAAGGGCATCTTGCTTTTGCAAAACATTTTAAGGCACATTTAGTATTATTTAGCTCCCAAGCTCTTTCTCAATGGAATGCAGAATTAGTCGGGAACATTAATCTTCCCTCGTATTTACCAACACCTTTTTCTCGAAGTGTACCATCCATGAATTTTATGGAAAGGTTCATAAATACTATGGCTATGTGGTACGACAAATATCTTAAAATTTTCTACCATTATCCAGCTCAGCAAGCATTGATAAATAAACATTTTCCTGTAAAGTATAAATTAGAAGATATTATGTACAATGCTAGTTTAATGTTAAGCTGTTCACATGTGAGTACTAGTGGCTCTATATCGCTAACGCCATCTGTGATTGAAGTTGGTGGGTTACATATAAAATCAAAAGGATTACCCGATAATTTTAAGTCCTTTCTGGATTCAGCAAATGAGGGTGCAATTTTATTTAGCATGGGTTCAAACTTAAGAAGCAGTAGTTTGTCTAAGGAAACTATCAGAGAAATTGTTAATATGATAGCAAATTTGCAGTATAAAGTAATATGGAAATTTGAAGATCTGGATTTGGAAAATAAACCTAGTAATCTACTGATATCAAAATGGGTACCTCAAAATGATATTTTAGGTATTATACTCGGTATTATATACAGGGTGTTTCAAAACAAATGCGAAAAACTTCAGGGGGTGATTCCTTGTTCAAAATAAAGGGTAGTTTGCTTCATAAACGTTGGGTCAAAAGTCAACCATTAGGGAGATATTGCGGTACAAAGATGGCGGAAAAATAATGTTTTTATTTTTTATCTTGAAAACAAAAAGAGATAGACTACTATAATTTTATGGAAGCATTACTGTTATGAAAACACACTTTCTGGTAATTTTTCACTTTTTAAAATGAGTGGAAGGGTTGAAATAAACTACCCCTATCATTCTTGTTAACGAAATTTAAAGAAAAATCTTATCAAACACATGCAAAAAAATTAATTTGGATAGTTTAGTTTGTTTAGAAACTTTTATCTCTTGTATTTTTTGATAAAACTCACCGATTTGAAATTAAAAAATAAAATGTAAAGCATTACATGTCAGGACAAAAACATTTTCTGATAAAGAATCTAGTGGGCTGCTGTAATTTTTTAGGAAAAATCTAGTCGGCCGCTGTTACTTTTAGGATGTTCCTAATATTATTTTATTTGACATTACTCTAGTGCAATACGTTATTATCTAGATGATTATTATTATCGTTATTATCACTAGATTCTTAATCTAAAAATGGTTTTTGTCCTGACATGTAATGCTTTACATTTTATTTTTTAATTTCCAATCGGTGAGTTTTATCAAAAAAACACAAGAGGTAAAAAAGTTTCTAAAGAAACTAAACTATCCAAATTAAAGCATTTGCATGTGTTTGATAAGATTTTTCTTTAAATTTCGTTAACAAGAATGATAGGGGTAGTTTATTTCAACCCCTTCCACTCATTTTAGAAAAGTAAAAAAATTACCTGAAAGTGTGTTTTTATAACAGTAATGCTTCCATAAAATTTCATTAGTCTATCTCTTTTCGTTTTAAAGATAAAAAATAAAAACATTATTTTTCCGCCATCTTTGTACCGCGATATCTCCCTAATGGTTGACTTTTGATCCAACGTTTATAAAGCAAACTACCCTTTATTTTGAACAAGGAATCACCCCCTAAAGTTTTTCGCATTTGTTTTGAAACACCCTGTATAACTTACATCTATTCGTATACGCACATGGCCAAAATTATTGCATATATCGTTTAAAAATATAGGGAAAGGAATTTAAAGAATCTTTTAAGGGGTTCCATAATAATATAGTGTCCGTCCGTCCGTCCGTCGGTCACAAAGGTCTATCTTATGAACCGTTATAGCTAGACAGTTGAAATTTTAACAGATAATGTATCTATGTTGCCGCTATAAGAACAAATACTAGAAACAGAATTAAATAAATGTTTATAAATAAAAAAGTACCTTCACTAAACATTATCTTTTAAGTAAACATTTTACATAGAATCTTTCAAGTCCTCGGTGGCCGCGTGGTTACAGCGTTAGGACTTTATGCTGCTATGACGTTGGAGCCGTAGTAAGGCAGGTTCGAATCCTAGGCGACTTTTTTTAATCGTTTTTTTTTAATTTTTACATATTTTTACGTTTTTATTTATACTTTTTACATATTTATTATTGATTAATACAATTTTTAGTAATGTGTAGTAAATTTCAGCTAAGTCGGAAAAAAAGTTGATAGTAATATAGTGTCTAATGTTGTACAGATAATGAATGGTACGGAACCCTTCGTGCGCGAGTCCGACTCGCACTTGGCCAATTTTTTATATATAGCTTTGATAATCTGTAATAAACCTTTTTTTTGTTAAAATGGATATGGTAAACAATGTTTATCGTTCAGACCCAATATTATTACAAATTCTTGCAGATTTCGATTTGTGATCTCTTGGATTTCAGAAGAAATATGACCATTGTTTTGGGCTTAAAATGCCTAGAAACATTATTTCACAGTTTAATACAGTCAGAATAGTAACACCACGGCATATAAATCACACGGCAGGCCGACTCGCTTTGGCGGGAACGCTAGGCGCATATCCTTGCGCACGTCGCCATTATGGGTGCCAGCAACAGAAATTAACCAGTGTCGTAGTCTTTGTCATCGACAACATACAGTTACGGCAGCTTTGAGTCAGTAGCGTGCGGCTTAATTTATTTCATTCTTTTCTTGAGTGATATATTTTGTTTTTTTATTTTTGTTTATTGTGTGATATATTTGGTTTTTGTAGTTTAGTAGTACAATGGATGTCCGAAATTCTTTTAGTTTTAATACTCAATCAATGTCTAAGGCATTCAAAGTAATTTTTATTATTAGGTATCCTGCAAAATGACAAACAAGATTCGTTTCTAAATTACTGTTTTTCTGATTATCCGTATCTATTTTTAATTTTTATGGATAGCTTATGACAATTAAGAGAGAAAAGAACAGAGGTCTCGTTATTTTTTATAATAAGGTCTGCCGTTTTTAATAAGCTGTTTGCCAGATCATTTTGGCAATTTTCAGTACCCGTGTGTAATATTCAGACACAAAGTTTTTTAAATGTTCTTCTAAACTGGATGAATTTATCCTGGATGGGAATAATGATAGGTTTACAAGATATTGGAATTACAAGATAAAGTTAACGTACCAGATTTTTATGAGTGCAACTGTACACTCAAATCTCGCGACAAGCTTTTATATAATATAAAATTGTGTAAGTGTAATGACGTTATAAGTTCATAATAAAAGTTTTAAAGAAAAAGTTAATTTTTTTCTTTTTAATGCATTTAAATAAAGGCTTGCTTCTAAAAAGTTTTTTTTCTTAAATTTATTTCTTACTTTTCAGTTATGCTGGTTTCTCAGTGCCACACACACACAAACTCAATTCTTTTTCTTAAATAACTTCCTATGGGCATCCTAATAATATGTATAACGATTTTCATTAAAAAATGAGAACTTAAAAAAAAACGACAGCTGTCAAATTTGACAGTTCAAATATGAGACAAATAAAATGAAAACCGACTATGGGGTATGGAGCATCCAATATATCGATTTTTATCAAAATCGGACAACTTTGAGATTTTTTTGACAGCTGTCAAATTTGACAGCTCAATTTTTTTTCTTTCATTTTAACCCAAATCAACCTCAAAATCGGTTGACTTTGAAATTTTGACATGTCATTAAACTGTCATTTTTTCAAGATGGCCGCCCATATATATATTTTTTTTATATGTATATACCTTTGAATAAGAAGACTAGAAGGAGCATAATGCTATCAAGCAATTTTTTTTTCTTTCAAGGACCCGTTATCCGAATTTATCCGTGGTGTACGGCATGTTTTTTAATTTTAATTGTCTATTCTCTACAGTTAAACGTTTAATTGATTTTTTTATTTTTACTTTTCGAGGAGTATGCGCGGTTAACGATTCATTTGTTTAGATAAAAGTATTGGTGTAAATAAAATTCAGTTTCAGTCAATTACAGTACTTTTTTTAATACGGCCCAGTCTATCAATAGTTTATTTTCTGGGAAATTTGTTGATACATTTTAATCCGGCCCTGACTCGGCACCCATAATGGTGTTTTCAAGGTAATATTTTTAAACAATGATGCCGTGGTAACACTATCTAAACAGGGCTATCGGCAAGTTGCAATAGCTGAAATTGTAAGAGTTAAGCAAAGCGATGTTTCGCGAATATTAAAAAAAATCAGGGAGGCAAACGAGGTTACAGACCGGCCTGGAAGAGGTAGAAAGAGAGTTACTACTGCTGTGCAAGACCGTCAAATATCCCTAATTGCACGATGCAATCCCCTGCTTTCTAGTACTGCTATTAAAAATGAGTTAGCTCGCTTTGAAGGAGTAAATATTTCAAGAAAGACTATAGCAAGAAGACTCCATGACAGAGGATTACATTTAAGGAGACATCTACGTGTTCCGAAGCTTAATTTACAGCACAAAATTATGCGACTACAATGGGCAGATGAGATGATAGCAAATGGACCTAATTGGAATTTCATCATGTATTTAGTGATGAAACAGGAAGCCTAGTCAGACTCGCAACGAATTTTGGTTTGGAAGACGAGCACGCTTGAATATGCAGCTCAACCCCGTGTCCCGTTTCAAGGGGGAAGCATTATAGTATGGGCAGGTATAATGCACGGAGCTCGAAATCTTCGTTTTTATTGATGGCACAATGACAGGTGCCTCATATCTTAGAGACGTTTTAGAGCCTATTGTGCGTCCATTTCGAGGGGCAGTGGGGGATGAATTTGTTCACATGGATGATAATGCTACTCCCCATCGCACTTTAGCGGTTCGCGAGTTTTGTGAGGAAGAGGGTATAAGAAAACTGTGGTGGCCACCGATGTCTCCAGATATGAATGTGATCGAGCATGCTTGGGCATGGCTAAAACGCCATATTGCCAAAAGGAATGATCCCCGCGTACCTTGAACTGAAAATTGCTGCGCGCGAAACATGGGAAGCCATTCCTCAACATCTTCTGGACAACTTAATTGAGAGCATGCCACGTCGTCTCACAGCTTGCATTAAGGCTCGAGGGGGCAATACAGACTATTAGTTGTGAGAATTAATTAAAATTGTTTTCAATATTTTCTGTTTATTTGTTTTTGTTGATTTTCACTCATAAAATAAAATGATAATAACAGCCTAGTTGCACTTAGATCTTTGATTTCATATTAGTTAATTAGTTATATTAGTGTAGTAAGTCAATATGTCCAAAAATATAAAAAGAATCATATTAGGTCGAAAATAAAATAAAAATATCATTATATGCAATAATTTTGGCCATGTGTGTATTTAGAGTTAATTAATGTTCCAATTTCCAGCACATCCAAATATAATAGCTTTTATTTCTCACTGTGGTATGGGCGGTACTACAGAGGCTGTATATCATGGTGTTCCGGTAATAGGTATACCTGTTTTTGCTGATCAATTTGCTAATGTTCTTAGATTAGTACGAATGGAAATGGCTGTGGAGCTTCCCTTTCAACAACTGAGTGGAAAAGTTCTACAGGAAGCTATTCAGGAAGTTCTACACAATAAGAAGTTAGTATGCTAACATTTTTAAAAGTATATGCTATTTTAATATCAATATTTTCAGATACAGGGAAAATGCGAAAACGAGGTCTAATGTAATGCGTGATCGAGTATTGGAACCCCTAGATGAAGCTGTATATTGGGTAGAATATGTGATAAAACATGATGGTGCTCATTATTTAAAGAGTTCCTTTAGTGACCTAGCATGGTACCAACTGTATTTAGTTGATGTTATTTTAGCAATTGCTGTGATACCTTATGTAATATTTATTCTAATACGTCTTATGGGAAAGTTATTAACATGATTTATAATTTAGAATTTATAAGAGAATTATAAAGGTTGGTTCCATTTATAAGAGAACCAAGAAAATATTATATTATATACTTATACAAACTTGTTTTATTAATCCCTTCAAATAATTTTCATCTTACATGTTAGTTTTAGAGAAATATACAGGGTGGTCTGAACTGTATTCCGAAAACTTGGGTAGCATATTCTGGAGAAAGAATGGTAATATAAGTTGATAAGTTGGCGAATGTACCAGGATTATAATAAATGTCGTAGTCGCTAGATGACAAGGAACGTTAGACAGTTGAGAGTAGTGTGTGTAATTCTGGGTAACTACTATGTACTAATCTTATGATGATTATTAAACATTCAGTAATCAAGCAATGCTTATTTATTTAATTACTATAACTCAGTTACTAGTAGAAATAATACATGGTGTCAGTGTGGACCAGTGTGGTGCCCTAAGACCAATTTCGCCCCATGTATGTAATCAATTTGACCCCGGCCTTAAAAGTTTGAAATTCCCGCGAACTTATTAAACTTGTTGCCGAGCGCCTCAACATGGCGGCTCAGAAGACATAAAATAACATGTGCATAAAGGCCAAATAAGGAAAATTATCATTGTATTTTACTTACCAGCTAAAATTTGCAATAGTCCGAAAATTTTAAATTTAGTTAATTAATTTCAACAGCGTTTTTTGCACAAAAAATAGATAAAAAATGGCACACTCGATTGCATACGTCTTGTCATTAAAGCTTTAGTAAACAAGACCGATGCACACCACCGCTTCTAGTTGCATAAATTTGGGGCTAAATTTAAAAATGTGACTAAACCATGTAATTATCAATTTCGCCCCCGGTTATCAATTTCGCCCCAAACTACGGTACTAGTTATTATTAGTTTTTGAAGTTAGGTGATATTAATTACCTATATTCGCATCATCATGGGCTATAATCAATTGTAGATTATTCGTCAATCAATCTGAAATATGTAATATTATTTACTTTACATTTACGAAAAATTATCATTATCTTTTTTTATGAAAATTTTGAGGTTAAATGGGGTATGGAATAAAACGACGTGAATAAATAAGTAGTAACACGCTGAATTTGAAGTTGCGTTACAACAACGTGATTTGGATTTGTGATCTGGACGATCTGGAATTATTGTAAGGCTAACTAGTCTTTTGAAAATATGGAATCGTTTTTCCGTTCACCGGAACCGCTTCCCTGGAAGGAAATATTGCCGAGGACTGGAGAAAATTCAAACAAGTTTGATATTTTTTTGGAGGTAAAAGGACTTAAAGAAAAAGAGCAGAAAAGCAAATGGCGGCGTTCTTGAACCTGATTGGCAAAGAAGGCCTGGAGCTGTTCAATTCGTTTAGTTTGACAGACGACGAAGCGGCAAATTTGAAAACAGTGAAGGAGAAATTTGATGAATACTGCTGTCCAAAGGAAAATGTAATCTTTGGAAAGTTTAAATTCAATTCAATTATACAAAGGCAAAGGCAAAGTTTTGATACCTTTTTGACAGATTTACGGAAAGCGATCAAAACAACAATAAATGTCGTAGTCGCTAAATGACAAGGAACGTTAGACAGTTGACAGTAGTGTGTGTAATTCTGTGTAACTACTATGTACTAATCTTATGATGATTATTAAACATTCAGTAATCAAGCAATGATTGTTTATTTAATTACTTTAACTCAGTTACTAGTAGAAATAATACAAGAAATAAGTAAAAAAGTTGGTAAATCCTAATATACTTAGATTCGGAGGGATAGGGTGTAGAAGATTCTTTTTTATTTCAATTTTTTCCAAATAATTTCTGATCTAACGTCGATATTTGAATGAAAATTGGTGTTTGGGAGTTTTTTGATATAAGAAATTTGATTTTGATGTCAATATGATTGCGTATATCTTAATAAAATCTGTTTACATTTTTTCAGTAATTGTAGTAGCGCTTTGGTGCGTGAATCTCTAGTCAATGGATATGCCTATCATTTAAACTCCCCTCCTCCTGGTCCTCTATAATTGACGCACTTTTAGTAACACAAATCAATTTTCGTTTTTTCATGGATAGGTACCTATAATTCATTCCTTGTTCCTGTTATTTTCTTGGTATTTTCTCCTTTTCATATCGAGTAATCAGTTGGGTATTTTGCTTGTATAACGCAAAACTTCCAAGCAAGACTATAATAGAGGCTTGGTGCCTCTCAACCGATTTTCACAAGCTTTTTTTTAACTTGCTTTGTATGTAATTATTATATCTAATGTATGTATGTTTGTTCGGGGCAAATCTTGTAAGCTAAATTAGAACCACTTCCTTTCATTGTAGGAAATTGAAATTTGGCATGTAGGTTCAGTCCCGATGACAATACATTTTTTTGCAAGGCATGGTCCGAATTTTTGACAGCTGTCAAAATGGCGGCATTTTTGAGGTTTTTAATTTTTTAAAATTCTATTTATGAATGGATCCGGCTGAAATTATATATAATACAGGTATATTGTGGATATATACATATGAAAAAAAATATATGGGCGGCCATCTTGAAAAAATTACGGTTTAATGACATGTCAAAATTTCAAAGTCAACCGATTTTGATAAAAATCGATATATTGGATGCCCCCTACCCCATAGTCGGTTTTCATTTTATTTGTCTCACATTTGTCCTGTCAAATTTGACAACTGTCGTTTTTTTTTAAGTTCTCCTTTATTTTATTTATTAGGATGCCCATAGGAAGTAATTTAAGAAAAAAATTGAGTTTAAGTGTATGGCGTTTGTGAGTTCGAGAGCTGTCAAAGTTGACAGCTGTTACTGTTAAAATTTTAGTGTTCGGGGTTTTTGGAGATGATGCGTTAAATGAAATGAACAGACTGAGAAACCAGCATAACTAAAAAGTAGAAAATAAATTTTAAGAAAAAAAACTTTTTTAAAAACAAGCTTTTAGTTAAATACACTAAAAAGAAAAAAATAAACTTTTTCTTTAAAACTTTTATTATGAACTTATAACGTCATTACACAATTTTAATATTGTATAAAAGCTTGTCGCGATATTTCTCTATACATTGATAAACAAGTAAATTAAATTACTTATCTATTTGATTTTAATTGTAAAACTTTTCAAACTAAATAAATACATACGAGTAACTAAACGTTCTTCATACGAGTAAGTACATACGAGTAAGTACACAATTTTAACATACCATATAACCATATTTTAAATGCATTAAAACTAACAAAATTTTGGTACGTTTACATCCACAAATTGTCTGAGTCGTTAATGCTTGTCAGTGTACAAAGCTAAAAAATACTCATCTCCTAGACTATTAGATGTGTTTTGATTGATGGGTGACAAATAATATACCTGAAATATACAGGGTGTTTCAAAACAAATGCGAAAAACTTTAGGGGGTGATTCCTTGTTCAAAATAAAGGGTAGTTTGCTTTATAAACGTTGGGTCAAAAGTCAACCATTAGGGAGATATCGCGGTACAAAAATGGCGGAAAAATAATGTTTTTATTTTTTATCTTGAAAACGAAAAGAGATAGACTAATGAAATTTTATGAAAGCATTACTGTTGTGAAAACACACTTTCAGATAATTTTTTACTTTTTAAATGAGTGGAAGGGGTTGAAATAAACTACCCCTATCATTCTTGTTAACGAAATTTAAAGAAATATCTATATCTATCTCTATAAACTAATGTTGACTTTGAAAATAGTTACTAACTGTCACTAGAAAATTGCCATGGCGACACCAGCCATCTTGATTACAATTTTATTTAAAAATCGCTTTTTATTCATAATCTGAGCTAGATAGGTATAGGAAACCCTAATTTAGTTTGAAAGAGCATTTGAATCTGCTTCGATTTATTTAAAAAATACAGGGTGTTACGTTTGAAATAACAAAGTTTTTATATAAAATATATCCTTAAAATAGATTAGCAACTTTTGATAGCCCTGTATACATTTAAGGAACCAATACCATTTTTTAGTAAAGTTTATTTCTCTACCTTTAAATTCAGCATAAAATTAATTCTGAAAAGTAATGTACAGGGTGTTAATAGTCTATTCTATTATAGCATGCAAATTTAAATATCTTTACATATCTCAAAAACTAAAGATTTTAAACATATTTAACCCTTATAATAAATGCCTTTTTTGGGCACAAGAATCGAAAAATGAAATAAAATACCGGGTGTTCCATAAGAAAAAATATAACTTTGGTATGGATCTTAGTTCTGAAACACCCTGTATATTTCAAAATAATTTTAAATTGTGCACATTGTCTCCCCATAAATCATACAAAATATTTTGTTTCTACATTTTCCGTTTTCGTATAATCAACGGAAACGAATGAGGTGCGCCACCCTGTATACAATATACATGACAATCTAAAATCTGTCTCTACCCTGTCTCATTTTGAAAGTTTGTGTTATGATAGACCACTAGTCCAGGAATTACAAGATAAAGTTGTCGTGCCAGATTTTTATGAGTGCAACTGTACAGGGTGGGTCAAATTCGACGCTTTTAAATGGAAACACCCTTTTTCTATAAGGGATAGACAAAAACTAATATCGGTGTCTGGAGCTAAATTTTTGTCAAAAATATGATGGTGAAAACCGCATATCGATATCTGTTACCGTTTCGGAGTTACGGGGTGTTTTCAGAAATATGCATTTTAAACAAATCGCTGTAACTTTTTTTGCTATGGCAAATTTTGTATTTTTATGAAAACATTTCAAAGCACCTTTTACGTAGAATTTAATGGTTTAAGTATAATTTTTTTAAAATTAATAATTTAAGAATTATCAACAGAAAATTTGATTTTTATATGGGACACTGTAATGCAAAAAATTCTAGCTGTGAGCATCAATTAAAAGGAAAATAATATTTGCTATGAGAGATACAGAGTTTTATAACAATTTAAAATATATTTAACCAACATCAACACGTTTAAACTATATCTAATAACAATAAAAATAAATAGCAAACCAAGACATGAGATTTTGCTACAGGTGTTCGACATATCGA